TCTCTCTCTCTCTCTCTCTCTCTCTCTCTCTCTCTCTCTCTCTCTCTCTCTGTGTTTAGGCGTGGGGGAAGAGAGGTGTGTGTGGGAGAGGGGCGGTGGTGGATTGGGGAAGGGGCAGGGATAGTTTTTTCTTGAAACCAAAATGATGTATTTTGCCTCCAGAGAACTGACATTTTGTGGCATCCTTGGGCGATTTACTTCTCACGCTATCTTTCCCTTTTCCAAGCCACCATTTTTCTTTTGGCTGCAGTCACCAAAACAAAACTGAAACATCGCGTAAACAAACACATGCACACGCTCACGCGCCCGCACACACACAAACACACACACACACACACACGCACACACACACATACACACACACGCACACACACACACGCACACACGCGCACACACACATACACACACATACACACACATACACACACATACACACACATACACACACACATACACACACATACACACATACACACATACACATACACACACTCGCACACTCGCACACACTCGCACACACTCGCACACGCACGCACACGCACGCACACACACGCACACACACATGCACACACGCACACACACATACACACACATACACACACATACACACACATACACACACATACACACACAAACATACACAAACACACACACGCACACGCATGGAAACACATATACACACACGCACACACATGCACACACACACACACACATATACACGCATTCACACACATACACATGCATTCACACATACACATGCACACTCACACACATGCACACACACACTGTTAAGTACAAATAACACAGGCTTTTAACACTGAAAAGCCAGGGCACACACACACGCACGCATACGCACACGCGCACAGGCACATGCACACAGGCCATGTGGGCATCCGAGGAAACGAGCAAGTGGACCTACTTGCGAAAGAATCCTTGTCCCTTCTGTTGGGATCAACGACAAACACTCTCCCACTGACTGACTTTAGAAATAAAGTTTAAAAAACTGCATCTCCAGTCTGTGGGAGACACAATGGAAGAAACAGATAAACAAAACTTCACAACATTATGCCCACACTGGGTCCACGAAAACCTTGGGTCCTCTCCAGAAGAGACGAAGTAATTTTTACTCGATTACGCATCGGACACACATCCCTGACACATAAATACCTCCTTCAGGGAGAAGAGAAACCGTTCTGGGTCGGATGCGACTCAGATTTCACCACTAGACACATCTTTACAGAATGTCCAGACTTTGGAGAGAAACGAAAGAAGGATTTTAAACGAAAAAATAAAATTGCAAGACCTGTTCTCTGTCGTTGATCCCAACAGAATTCTCGATTTTATACAGACCTTTGGCCTTTACGGCACACTGTAAATAACGTTGTTTTAAATTTTGTTTGAATGTTCTTTTAAAAAACTGGGATTTTTTACCCTGAATTTTTAGCCGTTTAATCTGAGTCATTGACTTAAACCTAGCCGCCCTTTGACCTGTTGTGAATACAACCAACTTGTGTTTCGCGTGCTCATGTGGCCTTATGCAGTTGTGAGGGCTGTAAAACTCTTACTAAAACTCCCCCCCCCCAAAAAAAAAACAACAACGAAAAAACAACCAACAACAAAACAAACTAAACAACTAAAAACTAAAAGCCATAAAACGCTTTCTAATCAAGATCAGCTCAGCTCCAGGCCCTGATCAAATACACAACGAAATCATCAAACATCTTCCAGACGAAACACTCCTATTACTCTTTGATATTTACAATGAACTCTGGCATTCTCAACAATTTCCGAACAGTTGACGTCTTGCCACTATTATACCGATCCCAAAACCAGGAAAAGATACTCTAACCCATCAAACTACCGTCCCAAAGCCCTGACAAACTGTTTCTGCAAACTTATGGACAAACTTATTAACAAACGTCTAATGTGGTTTCTCGAAACCTCAAACTCCGTATCCAATTTCCAAAGCGGTTTTTGCAAAAATTGCTCTACTATTGACCATCTCGTCCGACTTGAAACTTTCATTCTGGAAGCTTTCATTCGAAAAGAGCACCTTGTGGCTATTTTTTTCGACTTAGAAAAAGCCTTCGACACCACATGGAAACATGGTATTCTAAAAGACCTGCATGACTTGGGCTTACGCGGAAATCTTCCCGAATTTATACGAAACTTTTTAAAAGATCGATCATTTCAAGTAAAAGTAGGTTCAACCCTGTCAAATTTACACACCCAAAAAGAAGGTGTCCCCCAGGGAAGCATCTTATCGCCCATTCTTTTCGAAATCAAAATCAATTCCATCACAAAAACCTTTCAAAACAATATTGACTGCTCACTTTACGTTGACGACTTCCTGATCTGCTATAAATCCAAATCCAAAATGGATCACATTGAACGTCAGCTTCAGCTTCAACTCCATAAACTGGAAACTTGGGCAAACGGGCACGGGTTCAAATTCTCCACAATAAAAACAAACTTAGTATATTTTTGTCTGTGCACAAGTGTGTGCGACAACTAGATTTATATTTGTATGGAGGGGAAACTCTTGTTAAAAAACAAGCTCGTTTCCTGGGCGTAATCTTCGACAATAAACTTTCTTTCCTACCACACTTGAAAGACCTAAAGACGAGGTGTCAGAGTGCTCTCAACGCCTTAAAAGTATTATCCAATCCTGAATGGGGAGGAGATGCTGAAATACTTCTTCAGCTTTACTGTTCCCTTGTCCGCTCCAGGCTGGACTATGCCAGTCCTGTTTACGGATCAGCCAGAAAGTCTTACCTTAAAATTTTAGACCTTGTTCAGAACCAAGGCCTTCGCCTTGCCCTAGGCGCTTTCCGTACTTCACCTGTAGAAAGTTTATAGGCAGAAGCTCATGAACCATCTTTAGAGCTTAGAAAGAAAAAACTCTCTTTGCAGTACGCTTTGAAACTTAGCTCAGTACCCCAAAACCCAGCCCACAAATGTGTCTTTGGCCTTCCCGAAGACCTAAAAACTCTATCCTCCTTAGGAAATAAAGTAAGCCCTTTCGGAATAAGAATCCAGAACGATCTCAAAGACATTGATTTTTCTGAAGACATAATCGAGCCTTTTACCATGTCCAGCATACCTCCATGGCTTTTAACCAAACCAAACATAGATACTAGTCTTGAAAAACACAACAAAAAGTCTACAGACAAAACTACATACTTAAACTCATACAAACAGCTAATAAATAGATACCCTGAAGCAGAGAAACTCTTTACAGACGGATCCAAAAATGACTCCTCAGTAGGAGCTGCTGCCCTTGCATCGCCACACAGCTTAAGCTTAAGGAAACTCCACCCAGAAGCTTCAGTCTACACTGCTGAGGCTACAGCTCTTGAAATGGCCCTAAATATTATAGATCAATCAACCAAGTCTACCTTCCTAATCCTTTCAGACTCTCTCTCTTGTCTGAAATCTTTAGAGCGCTCTGACACCTCCGTCAACAGAATTTTGAAACTTATCATTAAACTGCATTTTCTACATCAGTCTGGAAAAACTATTACAATAGCTTGGCTTCCAAGCCATGTAGGCATTGATGGCAACGAAGCCGTTGACCAATTTGCCAAAGAATCTCTAAAACTACCTGAAAACAAAAATAGTAAAATCCCTTTCTCTGACATGAAACCGAAAGTAAAATAACACATCACATCCTCCTGGTCCCAAATTTGGAATCAACAAATACACAACAAACTCCATTACATTCAACCGAAACTTATGCCCAGGAAACAACTATCTCTACCACGAAGAGAAAAAGTAATTTTTACCCGACTAAAGATAGGACACACGCACGTCACGCATAAACATTTGCTCGAAGGAGAGGAAGCTCCTTTTGCGTGGCGTGCAACACAAATTTCACAGTTCGGCACATCCTAATGGAATGTGTCGACTTTAATTATGTCTGTGAGAAATATTTTAAATGTAAAGATATTAAGACCCTTTTTGACATCATAGAACCTGGAAGAATTTTAAGTTATATAAAAGAAATTGGACTATTTAATAGAATATGAAAACATATAGTTATCGTTATCGGTGTATATATACATACGGTGTATACATACATACACTGGAATTTGTATTGTATATACAAATTGAAATAAGCCTTTTCCATATTTACAAAAAAAATTAGTAAATGTATGTTCGTCTTTTTAGCATAATAGAAATAGTGTGATCGTTTGCGGTTGCGAGCTCCGAAAGACTCTTATTAAAAACACGTCTGATTTTGTAGCGGTGAAACCTGATGGCGCTTAAATGACCAAAATTGTGTCGATAGTGCCGTAAAACATCTACCCAAACAAACAAACCACAGACTGACTTTAAAATTAAAGTAAAAAAGTACACCTCCAGTCTGTGGGAGAGCCACTGGAAAAAAAAACAGACGGGTAACAAACTCCACAATATTAAACCCAAACTAGGACCGCGAAATCCTTCGGACCTCTCCAGAAGAGACGAAGTCGTTTTTACTCGATTACGAATCGGACACACGCCCCTAACTCACGAATACCTCCTTCAGGGAGATGAGAAGCATTAGACACATTTTAACCTAATGTCTAGACTTCGGAGAGATCCGAAGGAAATAATTTAAATGTAAAAAATTGCAAGACATTTTTTCCGTCGTTGATTCCAACAAAATTTTGAATTTTATGAAGGCCATTGGCCTTTATGGGAAACTGTTGAGCAAATTGAATTATTAAAATTTTTATGTTATTTAGGAAAGTTGTTTTAAATTGAAAATAATATATCTAAACCGAATTACAGCCGTACAGTGAACTGCGAATAAAACTAACTTGTGTTTCGCGCGCTCATATGACCTTATGCAGTTACGAGCGTCGTAAAACCCCATACTGAACTAACTGAAAGTTTCAAAGAGATCTTCATACTAAAAGTATTCTAAAATGTGAAGAAAACAACCTCGGGGGTATAAAATGACCCCAGGGCGTACGGGTAGGGTTAAGTGACCAAAGTACCGCGTAAAATAGCTACAGCAAAACGTCGTGAAACAAAAAGCCACCAGAAGATGCAGGGTTGTAAAGAGAGTTTCACTCACGCACCGTATGTTTTTCTTTTGCAGGTCGGCCTGAAGCTGGCCGAGACCAGCCCCCTGTGGTACCTGCAATTCCTGTGGGACAGGCCGGTCAGGCAATGCCTGTAGGACAGGCGGGTCCTGCAATGCCTGTGGGACAGGCCGGTCCGGCAATGCCTGTGGGACAGGCGGGTCCGGAGTTTCACTCACGCACCGTATGTTTTTCTTTTGCAGGTCGGCCCGGCAATGCCTGTGGGACAGGCCGGTCCAGTCAGGCAATGCCTGTAGGACAGGCGGGTCCTGCAATGCCGGTGTTGCAGGCGCAACCAATACTGGCAGCAAACGACGTAAGTTTTTGTTGTTGTTGTGGGATTTTATAAGTTTTTTTGTTTCTGCATTTCTTCGACGTAAGTTTTTGTTGTTGTTGTGGGATTTTAAAAGTTTTTTTGTTTCTGCATTTATTCTTTTTTTTGTTGTTCTTTTTAAAATGTTTTCCCCTCTTTCTTGGTTTTCTTTTGTTTTAGAGGTAAACTGCACCTACAACTACGTTAAGGTCGTATTTTTAGAGTAAAGACCAAACATTGAGACCTCTGTTAGGATCAATGAAGGAGAACAAATTCTTCAAATAGGTGCGTAAAAAAGTAATTCCTTCAGGTCTCCTCAAAGTCTGGCAAATTCCAGGTCACCAGATGGGCATCGCATCTGACACAAAGTTAATGTTCCAATCTTCCCAATGGATCTTGGCAACCTGTTGTTTCCCATTTTTATTCAGATATCTACATGTATATATAATTTCCACTTTTTACTTCCAACATTGTATACCTGATATTCCGAATTTAATGGAATTTAATTTAGGTTTTATAAAAGTTTTGAAATAGATTGTTCGAAATTAAGTGTTATTTAGAAAGTTGTTTTAAATTTAAATTTAAATCTAAAGCCTATTTACACTCGATTTTTAGCGTTTACAAATTTTTAAATAGAAATATTGACCAGTATCAAGCCGAGAAATGAACCGTTGAGAAAAAACCTTGTTTCGCGCGCTCATATGACCTTAGGCAGGTTCGAGCCTTCCATTTTCCAACATAATACTGTCATTCTCATTTCGCCTTTTTTGTAATAGAAGCTGATTAGTTAGGATCTGTTCTTAAATATTATTAGTGGGTGGTTGGCGGGTGCTCCGGTGTAGTTTGCTTCTTTCCAATCAAACATCTATCGTCCTTGTCTCCCCTTCTTTTATGTTTGTTACTCTCTTGTAACACCCCTAATCTTCTGGCGCTCATATGACCTTATGCAGTTGCGAGCGCCGTAAAACCTCTACTATAACTAACTAAAATGTTCTTTAAATCTGTTTTCAGCTTGGACAATGCCAGGAACTTACACTAGTCAGCGGACGCCGTCGACTGTGCAAACGGAGGCGGCGTCTATCGCAGCCCTACTGCAGGCAGCACAGTAAGACTTTCATATTCTCATTTGGCTTTATCAGCGAAATATAAATTTTAAATTGTTTGCTACATTTCTGATTAATTAGCATCGTGTGTGTATGTGCTTGTGTGTGTATATGCTTGTGTGTGTGTGTGTGTGTGTGTGTGTGTGTGTGTGTGTGTGTGTGTGTGTGTGTGTGTGTGTGTGTGTGTGTGTATGCACGCACTCGCACGCATAAGTGAGAGAAAGAGAGAGCGAAGCGTGAGAGTGAGAGAGTGAGAGTGAGAATGAGAGTGAGAATGAGAGTGAGAATGAGAGTGAGAATGAGAGTGAGAATGAGAGTGAGAATGAGAGTGAGAATGAGAGTGAGAATGAGAGTGAGAATGAGAGTGAGAATGAGAGTGAGAATGAGAATGAGAATGTCAGTGCCACTGACTGTAGTGTCTTTAGGCCATTCCCAAAGGGGGGATATTTCTAGTTCAAGCACAGTAGAATTGTCACGCTCATAACTGTGCCTGATCTACAACAGGGCACTGCTGCTTTTTCTATCCTAATCCTTGCTATTATTTTCCTCTACTTCTTTTGTATGTTTGTCACTCTTTTGAGACCTGCTACTTCCACCTTGACAGTTGAGGCAGACCTTGTGCTGTTGAAGCTAGAGAGGTGAGCAGAGTAAGTCTGATTCCATGTAAAGACTTCTCTGTTGACACCGAACCCTTGGCGCTCATATGACCTAATGCAGTTGCGAGCGCCGTAAATCCCTCTACTATTTAAAAAATAAAAAAAATAATCTTCATTGGGTCGAGAGTGCCGTAAAACACCTACTCAATCAATCATAACCTCTAATCGTCGGAACTTTTATGACTTTATTATGAAGCAAGTGCCGTAAAACGCTTATGAAGTGGGTGGTTGGCGGGTACTTTGGTAGGTGTGATTTGCTTCTTCTTTCCTATTAAACATCTATCGTCCTGATCTCCTCCTTCTTATGTTTTTTTCTCTCCTGTAACATCTAATCTTCGGCACTTATATGACCTTATTGTGTTGCAAGTGCCGTAAAACCTACTAAAACTACAACTAAAAGCTCTTACGAAAAAAAGTACCTCGTAAAATAGTTACAGCAAAACGTCGTGAAGCAAAAAGCCACCAGAAGATGCAGGGTTGTGAAGAGAGTTTCACTCACGCACCGTGTGTTTTTCTTTTTCAGGGCGACAAGATGAGCTCCCTGCTCCTGCACAGGAGGTAGCGGCCCTGGAGGTCGTGGTCGATCCTGCACCTCTTCCTGTACCTGCTGCCTTACCTTTGCCTGTCCATCCTGTACCTGCTGCCTTACCTTTGCCTGTCCATCCTGTACCTGCTGCCTTACCTTTGCCTGTCAATCCTGTACCTGCTGCCTTACCTTTGCCTGTCAATCCTGTACCTGCTGCCTTACCTTTGCCTGTCGATCCTGTACCTGGTGCAGGTGACCTTCCTGTCGATCCTGCACCTGGTGCAGGTGACCTTCCTGTCGATCCTGCACCTGGTGCAGGTGACCTTCCTGTTGATCCTGCACCTGGTGCAGGTGATCTGCCTCTTCTTCCCTTTCCTCTGCCTGTCAATCCTGCACCTGTTGCAGGTCATCTGCCTCTTCTTCCCTTTCCTCTTCCTGTCAATCCTGCACCTGTTGCAGGTCATCTGCCTCTTCTTCCCTTTCCTCTGCCTGTCCGTCATCTTCCTCTTGCAGTAGACTACGCACCTCCAGGTGTCGTCTACGCTCCCCCTGTCTGGCCAGGAAGAGATCATATGCCAGGGATGTTTCCCGTGCTCGTTGCTGCACCAGCTGCCTGGCATCCACACGCTCCACCACCTAATGGGGTAAGTTTTTTTGTTTTGATGGAAATGGTTTGGATTTTGTTTTCTTTTTTTTTTCTTTTTTTATATTGTTTCCATTCCCTCTTTTTTGGTGTTCTTGTTTCTTTTAGAGGTAAGAGATTTACTGCTACTTCAACTGCATTAAGGTCACAGGAACGTGAGGGAGTCCAACGTATTTTACTGTATGGTTGAAGTTGAGAATTAGTGGTCAAAATCCAATAGTAACACTACCCCCAGTGGGTCGGGGGGATATAAATAGACCCACTGCTTCGTCTGCAGAAGGTGCAACCCCTTCAAAGGCGAGGTGTCGCACTCGGACCCCAATCCTCTGAGATCCGGATGCGACACCTACTTTGGTGTATCTTCCTCTTCTCCTTCCTTCTTTCTTTCTTTCTTCTTCTGTCTTTCCTGCCACCGCTGACCTCATGTGCAGCAAAAAAGAGAGGTCACCCATCCCACAGAGTGGGCGCCTTGTTGACCGTGAGGTGCGACCCGTGCGGAGGGAAACCGGGTACCTGGCGGTTGAGGTGAGATCAGTCCACGGACTGTCCCTCACCAACACACCTCTTTGGCCCAGGTTTTCCTCTTAGACGGGAGGGTGGCACGGCCCATGCCACTCAACCGGTTGAGAGCTGAAACCCCATCAAGCCCTGGGTCAATCTTGACGGGAGGGTCTTGTACTTTCTCGTTGAGAGTATAGCTCCGGGGTAGCCCTGGCACAGCTCTGGATATCCGAGCTATGTGTCCCCTTGTTGGGCTCCGTGGCGGGCGGGGAGCCCCGGAGTCGAATAAAATAGAAAACTCTCATGGAATCCAAATCAAAAAAAGACCCTTCCCCAGCTCCCAACGTTAAAAAGTCTCGGCTCGCGGAAGCGGGTGCGGCCGCCGAGCCGAACAAAAACTCCAAAACTGGAACAAGGACCGCCGCCTCTCACTGTTGCGTTCGTCTTACTGCAAGCAAGGAAGCAGAACCGTCATAACGCAACGTTGAATCAAACCCTCCCTCCACGCCGCGTATCTAACTCAGCTGTGCGTGATGACAAC